CACACCACACCACACACAGGGACTCTTAAGATAAGGATAATTCAGGACTCAACCAAGGATTGTGACATAGGTTAGAAAACCCTGTGAACAGTCTCTCAGTTCTGTGACTTTCTGATCCACCAGTTCTACAATTTGTGCTCTGGAATAATCATTGGCATACTTCATGGCCCAATGTTATATTCTTAAAAATGGGAGGAAGTAAGTCAAGAGTAACACATTTTCCTTTAAAAAAAGATTGCTAACCTATAGCTAAGAAATCCAGAGATTGTGGGGAAAATTCCATTCGACTGATATACAGGCACATTTGGAGTATCTTGATTTTCAAAGAGACCTAAAAACTATGTGCAACTAACTATAAAAGGAGAGCACATAATAAATGCTGCCTGATGTATGATGTATCTTCATATTTCATGAGATCAAAACAGTAACTGTTGACAGTAATAACTACCTACTTGCCTACTAGTTGCCTGTACAAACACAGTAAAGTAATTACTTAAGGAATAATTACAATACACCATACTTCCCGATTTAGTCTTATATTAAAAATCAATGACACATTTATAACTTTCCCAGCTTTCCCAGTTATCTTTCAAAGCTCATGATTAGTGATATCTCGCTTAGAACTTTTTTCTCTGTTCTCCTCATTAATGGGAATTATGTGAGCATATTCACTACACTTTATAGTAGTCATATAAAACATGGTATTGATATGCTTCACATCACATTCCACTTTTCCTGCCTCTAGGACCCAAGTCACTCACTTTGAATCCTGGTGCACAGGTGCACCTTCCAGCCACACTGTCACAGTCAGCCCCATTTTGGCAGCTGCAGATCTGTTGGCAGGCTTCCCCATAGAATCCAGGAGAGCATGTCTCATTACAGTAGAGACCCGACCAGCCTGGTTTGCAGGCACACTCTCCAGACATGGGGTGACAGCTGAAAGACATGGATAAAGGAATAGTCACTCTAGAGTAAACATGACACCCAGGGCCTGTGCAAATGTTGCTTTAGCCATGATCACTAAATGTGTGGTAATTCCATGCACAATCATTTCAACTTAATTCCCAGGCTTGGAATAATTTAATTAATTGGCTGAAATCAACATCATACTCTAGCAAGATGACTAATACAACCACATCCTTTTGTCTGAAATTCTTTTTAATTTTCTTAAATCAAAAGCAATAATTCAGTAAGTCAACTCCACGAGACATACTAAAGAACTCCATATAATGGCAATGCCAAATCAGTTAACACTGTGATGTCCAAGGAACTCCAAAACCAGTCAGCCTCTTTCTCCTCTCAGCTCCCACTACCTGGTAGCTGAACAGCTGTTGCTACCTGAAACAGCAGCCCCATTGATAGGCCAGGCAGCCAGCTGTTGTTCCACAGCAAATGGAGACATCAGCTGTGCTAAGATGCACATGTAAGTGGGTGAGCACAATAGAGCACTCTGTGGCGTGCTGGCTCAAAATATGTGCTTCTCACCACAGGAAAACCCTAACAATCACACCAGCTTTGCTGACAACTGTAATACTGTTTAAAGATAGTCTTCCTCCCCCACCATGGTGCTACAACTCTTCCCTTAACTAGGGCCAACAAAAATCTGCTGTCAAATCCAGACATTTGTTAAACAGCCTCCAAACAGAGGACTGTTGATAGTCTCTACTCTTGGAGAGAATGATGCCATAGAAGGGATGAAGACAGGATGTGATTCTGCTTCTCTCTCTACCTAAGTAACTTTAATGAAGGCATGCAATCTTCCTTGTCCAATATTCTTATCTGTCAAGTGAAGGTCTCAGCCACACCCCATAATCTCATACCCCTGCTCTTTTTCTCGCCTTCTCCTTTTTAGTCTCCAGAAACAGCTTAGAAGTTGAGAGCTTCATCCTTATTTTCAGGAGTTTATTTTAATATACTTTTGACCTCTGGTACACAGGCAAAGACCTAGGCATCGCCAAAAACATGCTCAAGACACAAGGCATGAAGAAATATCCATGTACAATTCTACAGCTGAGATGCTTTCTTGGGTATAGAAGGGTTAGATTCAGAAGACCAGGGTCTGAGCTCATATCTACTTAGATCAATACATGTCTACTGATCTGGTGTTGTCCTTGAGCAAACTGCTTATCGTTCAGTGAACACCTGACATCTCAAGAACATCTCTACCTTAACATGTAAAAATGAGCTTTTGTTCTTCCTCTCTTTTTTTTCCCCTCAGTATCTACACCCAGTCAGGCATCTGTATTTCTGTACATGGCATCACCAGTCCCTTGTTTACCTAAGAATTATTCTTTTGGATTATTTGACTTTTGACACAGGGTCTTGCTATGTAGCCAGGCTGTCCTTGAACTTATAATCCTCCTCCTTCCAAGTTCTGGGATAGAAGGTGTGTGCCATCACACACAGTTAAGAATTATTCTTGATAACTCCTTTGGCCTCATCTCCTATATCCATTTTATCAGTAGGACTTAACCATTCTAACTTCAAAATATATTTTGAATCTGTCCACATTTCTTTATTCATACTGTCACCATTCTATCCAGGGACAATGACATTTATTTCCCAAACCCCTAAATGGCCTTGCAAATTTTCTCCTTGCATCTATGAATGTCTTACCACCTAAAGAGTAAATCATGTCAAATTATCCTCCATAAAACTATCCAAAGGCTCCTCACTGCACACAGAATTAAACCCATACTGATTATTATAGGTACTGTGACTATATAATTTGTCTAAACAAATGTTTAAACATTAGGACAATAGTTTAACCAGACTGTCCTTGTGAAACCAGATATATGACCCCCCTAAATATAGCCCACATGGCCTCGTCATCTGGCCACCACCTCTTCTCCACTCCAATGATGGCATATCTCTCTCTTTATTACTAAACTCAACTATGCCAAATTTCTTTTAGTTTGTAAAAGTATCCAGTGTTTTCAACTTAAGGGCCTCCACAGGGTCTGTTCCATTTTCCTAGAAGGTAATTTCCCTACCTTTCCTTTAAAAAGTATGAGTCTTGGCTTAAAGCGAATTGCTACCAATTGCAGAGAATTCTGTGATATTTGTGATGCAGGTGTAAATGAATGCATAGACTGGCAGCTAACATTTACAAAGCACTGAAGAGAGCCAGCACCACGCTAATTTCCCCACATACATTATTTAACTCAGCCCTTTCAACCATCCTAAAATGGTAGACACGATCCCATTTTATAAATGAAGAAACTAAGACCTAGAAAGGGTAAGAGATTGGTTTGGTTTTTTTACACTGAACAGAAAAGAAGTTTGCTAGCAGCATCCCTTCCCCCCATCCTTTTTTGGCAGCAGTGGGGTTTGAACACAGGCCTCAAGCTTGCCAGGTAGGCAATCTTATTGCTTGAGCCACTCTTTCTGCCCTTTTTTTGTGATCATTTTTTCAGAGTCTTGCAAACTATTTGCCTGGGGTTGGCTTCAAAGTGTTATCCTCCTGATCTCTCCTTCCTGAGTAGCTAGAATTGCAGGTGTGAGCCACCAGTATCTGCCTGCTACCAGTCTTTGAAGGGGACTAAATATGAAATGGAATTGCTAAAATTTAGGATTTGGCATGGATAAAAGCAAGATTGTGAATTTAAAAGCAAGACTAAATTTACTTCAGTGAAAAGCAGTATTTCAAGTGATATATTAGGTAAAATAATTACCCTACCACTTCATTAAAGGAAAGACCTTTTTGGAAGAAAATATTGCTTTACATTAAAAAGTAGAAAACAGTATTCATAATGTAGACATACATGTTAGTGTAGGTAATCTGGGGCAGAGAAATTGGACTAGAGAGAGGCAGACAGAGAAATTGATATTCGATGCCCCTCAGTGAGTGGTAATATACACAAGGGTTCTCCGATTGATTGACACCAGAATTAGTATTCTACAATTTGTAATTAGATGTAGGAAGGCAGAGCACTTTGGAGGTATTTGATGGGCTCTCATGCAGACAGCTTAATTGGTAATGAGATTAACGTGTTGGTGTAGGCACAGCAGATCCAGATGGAAGGGTGATATGCTCAGTACCTGTTTTCAGTCCTTAGACAGATTGCTTTGTGTATATGAAAATGGTGATACACACATAGAGGAATATGTGTCATTTTACACATGCATATTACTAGATATACATTTTCTAGTAATTTTTCAACTTAATAGCTATCTTATAACATGAGACCGATACCATACAATATTGGCTAAAAATAAGAATGAGTCATTAAACTTCCTTTTATTCATTTCCTTAGATGTCCTCCATGTTGAAATGCAAAAGCAACTAGGTGGCATTGGCAAAGAGCATATCCTGATTGCCAAGGCTAGTGAATGTACTTATTAACAAGAGCTAAAATACATATTCCACGTGGAATCTGGCTAAATCTCAAACCTCATTTTCTTGTTCAAAATCATTTTCACCGTAAAAGTTAGTTTTCAGTTGAAAAGTCCATGTCATAGTGAAATGTCTTGGGGCTCAAAAATAGTGCTAAAAATGAAAGTACTCTATAATAGATTGCAAAATAAAAAATGGCAAAATTATTTTGCAACTTCTCCCATCAAGAAGTAGAACATATCAAATCTGGACTTGGTTGTGTGACTTTTTTTTCTTGCAAACAAACATTAACAATCATGATACAACCAAAGTCTGGAAGGTATATAAACTTTGGGGCTTGCCTATCTGTTACTGCCTTTTGAGGTCATTCACATTGTAAAGAGCCCAGGCTAGGTGGCTGGACACCAGAGACTCAGTGGCTCAGTCACTCCCTTCACTCAAATGCCAAATGCCAAACATGTGACTGGAGACATCCAGGACCAATCAGCCTCTGGTCAATTTGCCAGTTGAACACAGGAAGATCAGCAGAAGAACCACCAAACTGAGCCTGACCCAAGTAGCCAAAAAATTATCAGCTAATAAGTATTGTTTTATGCCACTAAGTGTTTGTGTTTGTTTGTTTATGATGAAGCAAAACCAAAGCAATATCAAAACTCCACCCAAATATGTGGCTGCCATATATGTCAATATCTACATTCATAGAACTTGAAATTTACATAAAGACCATGCAAATTTACATTGCATTAATTGTTTACATCTCATTAATTATAAAGAAAGACTTTAGGATAAATATGTGTTGCGAAGTATATAATAGCAAAGCTCTACTTCCTTGATTAGATGAAAAGTGAGTAAGTTCGCCTTTTCTAAGCCTTTTGGTTCAATGGGAACTTGTGTTACCAGGAATTTTAAATGTAAGCTCAAGATACAATAATTAATAGATGACTCCAACTGTAGAGTCATATACTTCATATTCAACTAGTTTTTTTTAATTTGTGAAAGCTAATCTTTAAAAATAGATTTCATAGTTTAGGGAAGTATTCATAGAGTGTTTTTAACCTTATGACTATTTGATATATTTTATCAGGCAGATTTTAGTGTTTTTTTCATAACAAATGATTTTCATGTCAAATGATCTCAAGTATTTCTTTATGAAAGCATACATACTTAGTTACATGTGGCCTATGTAAAAAATGATTACAGTGTTGGCACCAAAGAACTCTCCACCTGCATCTGGCCACTACTAACATGGTATCCAGTTCCAACAAAACCAGCATGTTCTCTGCTTCTCCAGTTTTTCTCATAGCAGAGCTGTTATTTTGTATAAGTTTGCTATTCCAGTCTTATGCTGTAAGAAAGGAAGCCAAACTCATGACTTGTCTCTAATCCTGCTAGCTCCTTAAATATCAGAGGATTGAAAAACAAACCAAAGCCTGTAGAGAGTATCCACTTTTATTCCCCAAATGTTTACCTAAATTTGTCCAGAAAAGCGGTAATATTTTCCAGGGAAGAAATCCAAAATTGACTAAGGTAGCTTACAAAGTTACTTGAATCACATTGAGAATACACTTCTTAGATTTAACCCACTAAAATATATTCCAACACACACACACACACACACACACACACACACACACACACGTGCACACACACTGCAAAGTCCTAAGGATGGCTTAAAAAGGAGACCAACCACATGCTTCTGCTTACATTAGCTTTTGAGCGTTTGAGATTTGATATGAACATGAGTTATCTTTCAGAAGTATAAATGAAGTAACATCTGTGCTGAATGCAAATAAAAGTAACTCTAGTGACATCTGAACTGCAATATAATGTACTACATTTTTGTCAGGTACGTGTTTCCAGAAGTCTGAAAACAGGCCAGGAATTCTAAGTTATGTTTATCTGGTCCTTGGGGGAGGAAAAAACAGAGTGGTGGGAAGGTGTTTTCAGGTGCAGACAAGGTATAGTAGGGTGAGTGGGATTGTGGTTTCCTCTTTTCAAATTCTTTGAGAGATTTTTGAGCTAAAAGGCCCCTGTGAGTTCTCTGTCAGAGTAATCAATTCTGGAATGACACCTCGCATGTGAAAGCCAAAAGTAAAGCGTTTTTCTACCCACCCATTTCCTTACTTCCTCTCTACAGCCTTTTTCTTCTTCTACAGATGTGTTGTCAAGGAAAAGATGTCACAGTGAGAATTGCTTTTTTATATTTTCACATACTAAACTTGGCTTAACACCTTGTCTCTCTATTGTATCTTTGCTTCTAGAGAATGTCACAGTATCCCTCTCTTAGGAAAAGTTCTACTAATCATATCACATTTAATTTTTGCTAGCTGCCATTAATAAAAGAATTTAATATTCACCATTAACCATGTAATAATTTGAGCAGTTCCAGTGTGGGCCATCAGTCACAAAGTGAGAAAGTCTTCCTTCAACTTGGTGATTTCTGCCAAGGACTGCCCAGAGATAGGAAGGGTCTTAGGGTGCAAACCTCCGTGTCAATCCCTCCTTCTAACTCCTGGACACTGGGGTTATAACTTCATAGGACCCAACCTTCCATGGGTAGCCGACACTCACCTCTGAGTGTTGTCTGGGTGACAGGGGCAACGTTTGTCACATTTGATGCCATAGAGCCCCTCTGGACACAGGCGTGCCTCGCAGAGCTCACCAGCAAAGCCTGCTTCACAGAGGCAAGTGCCACTCACGTGGTAGCACTTCCCTCCGTTGACACACTGGCAGGTCTCAGCACAGCGGACTCCATAGGTTCCGACTGGACATTCGTCCTGGCACCTGTCAAGCAGATTAGCAAGTGCCATGTAAAAATAAACAGTCAATTCAAAACGGCCTTATTATGTACAAAATGAAATTGCTTTTTGAACTTTATATTATTCCACGGTTGTCCCATGACAAGTAGAAAAGCACTGTGATAAAGTTTTCTGGCTACAACAGTTGTAGTCGCAGTATTATGGCTGGTGAAGGAAGAAATAACAAAAATACAATAAAATTGTGAGGTTAGGATGTAAAGGGTGTTTAGACTTAGTGCTTGCCAAAGGTGTATCTAGCACTTCAGTAGGTACCATGAAAAGGAAAAAGAAATTACTCAAACATTCATGCCAGACCATAATTAGAGAATTTTAAAAGATGTTTTTCTCATTCCCAAGTGAAAACTTTGTGGCAAATTTAAACTAAAATTTAGTTCTCTTGGCTTTCATGTGGACATTAATTTTTAATCTCAACTATGCTTCTGCTCTATTCAAAGCTGACTAGTAATCATTGCTCCTCATTTAGACAGCTTTGTAACTAATGAGCAAAGTCCTCTCTAGACTTCAGGAATTTTGAGCTACCAAAATCAGGACTCCAAGGTCCTGTCAGTAGGTTATGAAGACTTGGAGTTTTGCAACACAAAATTTTTGGCAAGCTGGATATTGTCCTCTCTTGTGAAACAGGACTGCCAAATGGCAAGGAAAAACTATCATACTTCAAATTTTCCCTTTATTGTCTTTAGAAAAATGGCATTGGAGCTCTGTCCTAGAGGAAGGACAGATTCCAGGAAAGGTGAGTGAGGTGGGAAGCTGAGCTGTGCAGGGAATAGTGATGGAAAAGAGACAATGATCCAAGGACAGCACAAATAGCTCTTGGGCAAGCCAAGTTTCTCTTTGGTGAGGAGAAGTGACAGGGCCGTCTGCAGAAGCATGAGAGCTTTCTGACAAGGAAGAGGCAGACAGGGTTTCGTCCAGCAGGGCACTCACCACAGTTGGGTGTACTTTGTCTCAGCAGCCACTTCCCATGTGGCTCCCAAGTCATGCCAGACCCTGATCAAAAATGTAGGTCAGCACTGCATTTTTCAGTACAATGTTAGCAGCAAAGCGTGATAACAAATTTAAATATACTTAAAATAACCAGCAAAGAAGTATACTGAAAACAAAAAGCTTTTCTACAGACTTTGCATATTTTTAATGATAGGGTGTGATGACTGCCAATCCTGGGATTTTAAATGCAGAGGACAAATATAAAGGAATAGTCTGATACTTTTCTGGTTGACTCTGGCGCTCACATAGATTGACTGTGATGGAAACATGAGCAGGGCCTCCTGTAAATTTGGTTTTACAGATTCTAGAAATGTTCAGGTACATTTGTCAATATGCAAAATCTTCAACCTCTTAACCATTAGAGACGTTCTGAAGAAATTGAGCTAATACTTAGCATAAAATCAAGTATGTCCTAAAAAGTACACCCAATTTTAGATCAGAGTATTTTTGTAAAGGTGCTCATTATTTTTAACTGTAGGAAGCTTTAATAAGCTAAGTTATATAGTTTATTACTAAAGATGTAAAATTTAGAGAAAGAAATGCTGAGGTACAATGATTTGACCACATCATGGCCTCTGCTAAAGGTCAGCAGGCAACTTTGTAAACTGTCTGTTTATATTTCTTTGCAATCCAGTGCCAAAAAAAAAAAAAGATAAACAAGGTAAAATAATATCACTTTCTCTCTCTTACATGGCTTAGAAAAAAAACCCAAAATGTTAAGCTTTGGATTAGCTCCATGATTTTTAACTCTAAAAGGACAGCTCTAAAAGTGGTTGAAAGTGGTATAGATTGAGTCTGGGAAAGTATCTGTCACCACATTCCAGAAGACACAGTGTGTGTATTTTATCATATCTTGGCAGAGACTTTTTTTCTCTGGGAAAACAAAATGTATAATAGCTGGTCCTGACTTGTATTTACCTTTCTAACCTATAATTAAACATACTACCAGTTTCTATTATACATACAAAACAAATTCATTTGAATTTTCTTGCTAAAGCACCCATTATGTCAGCTTTACTCTTTTTTTCTGTCCGTGTTGAACTTGTAAGAGAATCCTGTTAATAATAGTTACATCTGCTTCCATCTACCAAGCCAATACTGTAGGCTGTCTTTCTAGAAGTAGACATTTTCCACCTTTTTTATTATTATTTTAATTGTACAAACTTACAGGGTACAGTGTAATAATTTAACACAAGTACATAGGACATTTTCTATCTTAAAAATAAGCCACTCTACCATGGAGTGGCTAATGCCTTTCTTATTGGTCCTTTTATCTTAAGAAACACCGTTTCCCAACATGTTTAATGTTGCTTTTGTGGGCCCATTTGGAACAAGAAGAGCTGATTGTCAGGAATCAGTAAAAACGGAAATTCATTTTCTTAAGAAAGATGGCAAAGAAGCAACAGACAGCAATATTCGCCATAGTAGCCATATGGGAATTTTGGATTTCTACTTTTAAAAAATTTCTAATAGTGCCTTAGAATTGGGAAGGATAGATAAATATTAAGCAGATATAAGCTAATAAAACACTATACCAGTTATCAAATCCATAAGAGTCAAGGAATTTTTTGATATTGTTTTGATTATTATGTTGCATCTCATAGTAACACAAGTAAAAGGAAGTGAATTATAGGAGTGAGGTAGCTCCCTCTCACCTTTGTTCTTTTAAGCATGTCCGGGGGGACCATGAATGACCATGAATGACCAGAATAGTTGGGCCAAATCATGATTTATTGTGAAAGAATTGCATTCCTCGTTAAACCTGGGCTCCATGGATCAGTTGCCTGCCTTTCCAACATCTGGAACTGCTGCTCCAGGGAAATATAAAAAGAGCTGGGAAGGAGCCAACTTCCCCATGGTCCTAGAGACAGGAAAGAGCTCCTCATGGAAGACAAGTGCTGCCTCCCCTGATGCTGGCCTGCAGTGTCTAAGTTTTCCTCCTCTCATCCATATTGATCTTCACTATCAGTGCCATATGGAGCACAGGATGGCAGGGCTGTCCTGGGGTTCACCTTAACAGACTCCACTATTGAGTCTCAGATCCCTTCCATCCAACACTCTAAGTGCCCCTCATGTGCAAGGATCCACCTAAGACCATCAAAGGTCACAGAGTGGTTCTGTGGCAACACCGTTAGCATGAGGCACAGTTTCTTACATCTCTGGAAGAACTTTGTGAGGATGTGGAATATCCGCTCTTCACTCTTACTTGACTTCACCATATCACTTTTCCTCACCACAATATCCTCTTGACCTTTCCACAAACCCAAAGCCTCTTATTTGTCATCCTCCACTTAGTTCTGCCAGCCTGCAGGATGAGTGTTTGTTTCCCTGTGGCTAGGAGGTCCTTCCCACATCCTGGCAGTGTTGGCTGGCAGCTGCCTGTGGTGCTACCTGCTCTCTGAAGCAGCAACCCTCAGTCATAACCACTGCAATCCAGTCACACTGACTTCCCAAGAGAGAGAAGGGGCAGTTGCAACCCCAGCCCTCAGACTCTTCCCCACACCTCCTGCCACAACTGCCCCACGACCATCTAGTATTTCCTTTCCTAGTGACAAATACACATAAGCTCCAGGATTGTTCCAAAGCCATTGATGTACTAACTTATTTACTTCTTATTAGAGTCCTGGAGGAAAGCCTGATTATCACCTGGGCATTGCAGATGAGGATGTGTCTGAGGACACACTGGTCTAAACTTAGGCTCCAAAATTTTTGTATATAATCATTACACCCTTCTGCCCCTCAAGTCTCTTTTCTCTAATTCTACATACATCCAATGGACTTGGTTATATAGTCTTCTACGACATATAGCTTAAGAGAAAGTTAGAAGAAATGGGGTGAACAGAGCCCTGGGGTAAGAGCTTGCCATCTAATACAGAACAGTGGACGTAAGAACCAGGTGCTCACAGACACAGCCATGTGTCCTACTTCATGTGGGTCAGAGAACCCTGACGCCCCAGAGGATCTTACTCCACACAATCAGTAGAATATAATCACTAATATTCTTCACACAATGCTGAATCACAGGAAGGTACCCAAGTACACATTCCATTAGAAAATCAAACTATCCAAAAATGTAGGAACTAAATGGTCAACTTTTCAGAATGGCATATCCATTGTGGTTGGTGAATAACTGTTATTTTATGACTTTTTAAATACTTTCTCCATTATCTAATTCACCAGTGCTATCTGTAATTCAGTTACTGTACATTAAATTAGGATACAATCTTTCAAACACAAATGCTTCTGGAATATTATATAACAGTTATGGACGCATGATACGGAACATGCTCACTGAGCCCTCCAAATTTCCCTTCCATACATTAGGAATGGTAGAGAAAGACAAGAGTGTTCTTTACCGTTCTCCTGTGTATCCTGGACTGCAATGACATTGGCCTGTGGCAGCATCACATGTTCCTCCATTATGACATTGACATTCTTGGGAACAGTTCTTTCCAAAGCGACCCTCGGGGCAAGGTTGACCACACACTGTGCCCTGCATTCAAAGAAATTTGGAAAATTAGATTGGCCTCCAGCCACAAAAGGTCTGAAGGAAGGAGAAGAACAGATAGGAAAGAGAATGGGAAAGAGAGATAATGAAACAGGGCTGCAAGAAAATTAGATTAAGAAATTTTAGAAAACCTAAGGTGTTCTTCTTAAAAATGTTACAAATTTTAAAATGACTTATTTACTTGGTAGGCTCAAATTTCAAGATACATTCAAGGATGGCAGAATAGTAAAATTAAGAAAAATCCATATTAAAAACTGAAGCCTAAGATGCAGTTACATTAAATTGTATGGCAATGTAAGAAATTTATAAATCTTCTTAAGTGTTCTTCCTTATGTCTTACATGTGCAATAAGTCAACAATCCTATTGAGCATCTGTTACATCAACAGCAACATCTGGTGCAGATGGAGCATCCAAACGCTTTACCATATGTTCCAGAAAATACACATTGTCATTGGCTTCATTTCTTAAAATGTAAAATAATGTAAGGCTGGAATTTTGTGTACCTGAATTAACAATAACATTGCCTAAGAAATACTTCTGCAGGAATCAGTCTAGCCACTTACTTAAGAGGAAGAAGGCTTATTTTCAGTAGGTTTGATAGGCATTTCTGAGCTAGGATCAATAAGAAAGCTTATTTCCTGGGGAAAAAAATCGAGAGAGTAACTTTGATATTTCTCCTCAACCTAGAGGCTGTCCATTCTGTCAAACACGGTCATCATATTTATTCCAAACCTATGTGGATAAGAATAAAATACTGTACAAAAAAGTCAATGAAATACATTACTATTTTCTACTTCACTTAGCTACATAACTTGGGCTTGAAGCTTCTGACTTACTGGAGTTATTGTATTGAAGATATTTATTGGTGTTATAATTAGAACAAACAGCATATCCTACATAACAGGTATTTTTCTAATGTTTCTAATGTTTTCAACAAAGCAATAGCTTTGTTGTCCCTCTTTCTGAAAAAAAAAAAATTAGGCAGACTGTGAGCACTCTGAAATTGGAGGCTAGTGAACACCAGATGGTTTTGTAAATGTTTATTCTGGATAGCATAAGAAAATACATTTCCTCTAACTACTGGCTACCCACAAAGGCAGTTGGTGTGCTAATTAAGTCTCCTCTGGTGGTTTCTAGCTATCTACAAACAGGGAAAGTTCTTCCACAGACTCTTGGAACTGAAAAAGCCTTTGAGAGATGATTCAAATTAGTGCTTAGCTGAAAATCGTATATATACCAGGCACATTGCTGAGCTCTGAGACTCAAAGATAAAGAAACAATCCCTAGTTAGTTCACAAGGTGGTGATGGGAACAGATGTCAAAGTAGCTCTAATCTCGTCATTCTAGCAGAACATAGTATACTTAGTATAATGTAAAAACACAACTAAAGGAGCAATGTGCCAGGGGCCAGTGCGTGGTGAGCAGGGATTCCAGGACAAATTCTCATTCTTGCAGAGCCTGACTCTACTCATAATGGTCCCCTCAGAAACTTAGGGATGCTGTGGAAACACTGTGCAAGAATAAGGGCTAAGATGAACAAGCAGCATTAAGGACAATGTTATTTCTATTAGTTGAAATTCATATGTGTGTACATCTGAAAGGAATGTTTATTCATCTTTGAAAAACACCTGAAATGATAGCATGAATAAAATGTTGTAAAGGAGAAGTATAACTTGAAAACTCAGAAAAAAATGACCTGAAGCTTTCATGAAGAAACATCTGTTAAGGCTCAGAGCTAGAGGAAATGGTGTAGAACAGGTTCCAGTGGATCTGTGGAAGGGTTCATCTGTCTACCCACTGGACTTGTGATCCAAGCCTGTTGTTAGCACCATCCCATATCATGAGCACCCCAGCTGAAAAGAAAAAGCTTCCAACTCAAGATGAGAGCATTTCACTGCCAATATCTACACTAAAGTCCTTGGAGTAAAATGCCTACATTTCCTTACTCAAAGAGGACAGAACTCTCTGGACACTGCCACTCTAGTAAAATTCTTCCCTTCAAGGACCAGTGCTGGCAAAGGTTGAATATGAGAGATGAAATAAGAGAAGGAATCAAAGATAATCTAACATCTCTCTTAAGACAAATAAGAAGTATTGGTTTTGCTCAGATTTAAAAACAAAAAAGGTAGACGAGGCCTGGGAGGGGTGGCACACACAATTACAAAGGAGGCATAGGTAGTAGAATTGTGGTAGGGGCTGGTCCAGGTCAAAAAGTGCAAGATGCTATCAAGAAAAATAACTAAAGCAAAAACAGTATGGAGGCATGGTTCTAGGGGTAGAGTGTGTGCTTAGCAAGTGGGAGGCCTTGAGTTCAAACCCCAGTATCATTTCTCAAAAAAGATAGAAGAGGAGTATCCTCAAGAAGGGCTTAGGAATGTGACAGGTTTGGTTTTATTAAATTGAGTTTTCTGGGCCTACTACAATCACCTCAATACTTCTCAACAACTCCCTATCATCCTCAGACACTCAATAAAAGGCTCCTCCTTCTGATTCCATTACCTTAGGGAGTTTCTCCACACTTTGCTTCTAGAACCAGGCTTTGGCCCATTCACCATGTCTGACCTTCACCCAAGACACATGGTCTTGACATCTAGAACTCTCCCTTACTTTCCAAGACCTTCTTTGGGAAGGATACTCCGGTTCTCCTTTGCTTTCATGCCAGCAATAAAGAGCAATTCCAGACCAATTCTACCCCCACATGTGGCTGCATAAACACTGGCTTTGGTGAAACCCAGGCAATTGGTGGTTTTGTGACTATGGGTTATTAGGCTGGGGTGCCTGACAGGATGTTGACAAATATACATCTTGGACTCAGGGATGGTAAGATCAAGATTTGGGATAATCAGCAACTGTGGGTCTGCATGAGATTCCTAGAGGTTTGATAGTAAGAAATAAGGAAGATAGACGAAGACCTAGGAAATGCTGGAATGGTGTGGTGTGCACAAGAAAGGGAGACTGGGGAAAAGGGTTTTTAGGAAGAGAAGTGAGAGAGAGAGTTGTTAGAGAAGTGGAGGCCAAAGTGGTTATGGAAGGGAGTAGGCGATCAGCAGGGTCAAAGTTTTAGTGAAGTTAAACAGAACAGAAGAGACCTGGGTGGATCTGGCCATTAAGAAGTCATTTGAATCCCTGCAAAAGGAGCATCACAACACTCATGGAGAGAGATGGTGAAGACGAAACACATTTAAGTTCATTGTCAGTGAAGGAAACATTGTTCATTCACTCTTCTGCCTTCAAAGAGATATATGCACAAACCAACCTCCTCAGATTAAGAACTGGTATTATTTGCTGACGTCAGATTAGCCTAATTAGTAACGCTTTGCATTATGTATTCAACATGGCACTAAGGCTATGACATTGTCTTATGAGGAAAAGTTATCATAGCCTACTTTTGGGAAGTGTGGTAAGTCTTAGCTTCTTTTTGTTTACTCACACTAAGGGCTCTGTTCTACAAGACTGGGTACACTGGCTTCGATGTCTCTCCAGAGTTTTATGACTGGATAACATTTTCACATAACACTTATTCTGCTGAGAATAGTGTCCTCATAGACAAAAACATAGAAATGAGTATTAAATAATTCCAGTGTTCATCCGCCCTGGGTGTTATCTGTGAGACCAGATATTTGCCCCTTTTTTCTCTTTGAGAGAAATGCAAGGCAAATAAATGGCCTTCGTTTTTTTCATGAGGATCCTTATGTACTTCAAATCCAGGACAAAATCAAGTCACCATCTGCCCTCTTTGGACTGAGGATTTCCATTTTAAAATGGCTAGGTATTTCCAACTTGGGAATCTTTAATTATCATTGCTACTTTCTTCTGTGGTAAAGTACATTTTTAGCGCTCACTTTTGTGAGTGTCTTGGAGTGCATGAATTTGGAGGTGAAGTTGGAAAGGGAAGGAAACTTACCATCCAGCCAGAAGGGCAAGAGCATTCTCCAGTGACATGATGACACACTCCCCCATTTTGGCAAGGGCATCTCTGTTCACACTGTGGACCATGTTTACCAGGAGGACACAGATCCTCACAGCTGAGGAATTAAAGGATGACAGAGGACACCATTATTTACCCAACTACTGATGATCAGGCTCACAGACACATCAGCACCCAGGACCTTAAAATCAACACAGCTCCTTATTGAACAACTATTCATTACTTAACATCAAGAATATTGATCAGATTTGTTATAAGTGCCTTTGAGGGGTCCCAGTCCCATCCTTGGTTTTGGAGTACTTTGTAATGAACCATTTGTGTTTGAGAGTGGCCACACACTCATCAGTGACAAGAACTTTCCACCTAACTCTTAAAAAGCACTTGTGCTCTGCACATCCATGTTTATTGTGGCACTATTCACAATAGCCAAGTTATGGAAATAGCCAAGATGCCCCACCACTGACGAATGGATTAAGAAAATGTGGTATCTATACACAATGGAATTTTATGCAGCCAAGAAGAAGAACAAAATGTTATCATTCGCTGGTAAATGGATGGAATTGGAGAACATCATTCTGAGTGAGGTTAGCCTGGCCCAAAAGACCAAAAATCGTATGTTCTCCCTCATATGTGGACATTAGATCAAGGGCAAACACAACAAGGGGGTTGGACTTTGAGCACATGATAAAAGTGAGAGCACACAAGGGAGGGGTGAGGATAGGTAAGACACCTAAAAAATTAGCTAGCATTTGTTGCCCTTAACGCAGAGAAACTAAAGCAGATACCTTAAAGCAACTGAGGCCAATAGGAAAAGGGGAACAGGTACTACAGAAAAGGTTAGATCAAAAAGAATTAACCTAGAAGGTAACACCCACGCACAGGAAATCAATGTGAGTCAATGCCTTGTATAGCTATCCTTATCTCAACCAGCAAAAACCCTTGTTCCTTCCTATTATTGCTTATACTCTCTCTACAACAAAATTAGAAATAAGGGCAAAATAGTTTCTGCTGGGTATTGAGGGGGGGGAGAGGGAGGGGGTGGGGGCAGGGGGAGAAATGAACCAAGCCTTGTATGCACATATGAATAAAAAATAAGTACCCAGCATGTCCTGTTATAGAAACGGAAATGGACTAAGACACAGAGTATCTGGAAATCTTAGGGGTCAAGTGCCCGAGTGACTGCTTTAAAAAAAAATAAATAAAGTGAAAGCAGACTTTGAAAAACAAAAAAAAAAAGCACTTGTGCTATAGTTAAGTCTGCTTGTCTTTGTGTTTGTCCCAACCTCAAAGAAGATCAAAACATTTGCAGACATTCCCTTTGTGTACATATTCTTCATAATGAGCTTTCAGTATTTTCTCCTTTGTCATAAGGACCTTCTCCTCTAAGCCTTTGTCTTGCTTTCCTGTGCAATGGTTGCAAATTTCCCACAGCTCTATTCAATCATGACCTTGATGAAAACCCATAAAAGCAATATTAACAATTAAACAGTCTAAGATGCTCATCCAGTCTTCTGAAAATCAGGGTTTTTTAGGCTAATGCAGTTTTCTCCTTAGCTCTACTTTACAGACATTAACACTGCTAGCAGGACATATTTACCTAATCAACTACATTTTTTCCAAGGATTAGGTCTGTGATTTACAAGTGTAATTTTCTCAGTAAGGAAACAAGATTTTTCTCTCTCTCTTCCTTTTTTGGCAAAGTCTGCCTCTTCCTCTGTTTACTAATGGAAACAAATAGAAAAATGCCTTTCCCACAAAATAAAGTAGTAAAGGTCAAATAGTTGTTTCAATGTTCTCCAGAAAAATATTAAACTGCTTGTGTGCACATATGTGACGCATATGCCTTTTTATTAACAAAGAAGCAAGTATATCATGAGCATTGAATAATCCAACTAACCTTTTTAGTATGGGCCATGTAGCATCTTCTTCCTTGCCTCTTAAGGAAAGCAAGGTTCAAGGCTCTGAACGCACCAAACTTTATCAACGAGCAGAACAATCCGGACCAGTAACAGCCAAGAAGTAGAAAGTGAATGTAATCATGGGAGGTTTGAAACAGAAACTCAAATCTGCCACTAAAGTCCCCAACTATTGCCATTCACACAACATCCTCACTCTCTACCTTCACCTCATTGAAGGCGAAGGCATGGACTCTGGTTGGACTGTGGTATTCAAGGTTAAATAGCAGTAAGGCTCAGTGACCATCACCACTCATCTCTGTATTTGTCAGGAGTCCATACTTGCCAGTGGCTATTCAGGCAGCCACAGAAGTGGAGGCACGAGGATTCAGGTGGCAGAAGCGATGCGAATGAAAGAGAAGGTGTGTCTGCCATGTTGTTTAGCAGTATGTCACTTACAAGGCTCCAGTGTATCCTGGTGGGCAACGGCATTCCCCAGTGACGTGGTCGCAGGTGGCTCCATTCTGGCACTGGCATCTCTGGTGACAGTCATTCCCATAGGTGCCCTGCTCACAACGGTCCTCACAGCGCCAGCCCCGGAAACCTGCAGCACAGTGGCAAGCCCCCGTGATGGGGTTGCACAGAGCCCCATTTTTGCACTGGCACCGACTGCTACAGTGAGGCCCCCAGTGGTCACCATCGCAGGCTGAGATTAGGGAGAGAAAGTGAGGATGGTATTAGAGTTTGGGTGTGGCTCTGCATAAGTTCCTCAGAACCAGCTTTTCTCTCCCCTGGAGACCATGGCTGGATGAGCCCTCATTACCGTTCCTTAGCTGGGCACCCAGCTCCAGCACCAATCCATGGCTATGTTGGTGCTCATCCTTTCACTGCTCCACATCCTACCACTCCATGGTAGGATGCTTAAGCATCACTGCACATTCCAGATCCATGCCTTTCCTCTTCCCTAAATCCAGAGTAGGAGTTTGATGTGGTGAGAGAAATAAATGGCTAGCCAGGGGTACAAGTGGGGAGAGGAGGCTGGCCAGGCAGCTGGGAGCAATCAGCTCTTACAGGGATTTTTATGCATGTTAAGGTTTGGGTCACACCTTGTGGTATTGGTAGTGAAGGCTTTTAAGCAAAGAGAGACAGTGCAGTAGGATGCCTTAGTGGGATGCCTCCTACTATGTGTGAGAAAAGGGAAGAACGGGATTGACAACAAGAGACAGAGAGATGGAACAGGAAGAACAACGTCTTGGATCGGCTAGCAGGAGCAGATACCAGCCAGTGACAGCAAAGAGGGAGAGGGGACAAAGAAGCAGGGCTCCTGAGAGCAGACTGAACCTCTAAGGAGGAAACTGTGGAACAGCTTTCAAAATGTCAGTCAAAATACATGTGATTAAGAAATACTATTTACTTCCCAAAGGAAAGATGATGTGGGGGAGGGGGATAGTCTAGTATCTTTGAATATAGTGTGACCTATACAAAAGGTAGGACAAACCTGAAACTGAAAATGGACAACAAATAAAAAGATAATAGGCATATGACACCAGGCAAGACAAAGGTGAAAGTAGCATTTGAAAGATATACTAAAAGTGCAACTTCAAGAAAAAGAGGGGTGGCTGCAAAACCAGAGTCAATGAGTGGGAAAGGAGGGGCAGAGAAGGAAAAATCTCAACCTAAAGATCCCAAAAAAGTATAAAGGGTGACAATAAAACACAGCCTATTCAATATGTATTGCCCAGTCAACAGTGTATTTATTTACTAATTAGATACCATAAAGATCACCAGGGAAGAGGCACCCTACCTATAGCTCTTAGGATAAATTACTTGCATGATAGAAAAAAAAAGTTTCATTTCCTGAAAAATCTGTAAGTTCAACAGATTTCAAATAAACTATCGTAAAAAATAAAAATAAAAACTCTAAGTACACAGCAAACAACTCATTAGAAGTGTAGCCTGGGAGTGGTGGTACATGCCTATAGTCCAGTTACTCAGAAGGCAAAGCTAGGATAATCACAGTCTGATGCTGTCCCAGGGCAAAAGAGCAAGACCCTATTTGAATAACAAACTAAAAACTGAATGACTGCGGGTGTGGCTCAAGTGATAGAGCACAAGGTCCTGAGTTCAATCTCCAGTACTGGAAAAAAAAAAGTAATGTGGTATTCATATCCCAACATTAGAATCCACCTTTGATATCTTAATATTAAAACGTTTAAATGAATAATTCTGTTTTTAATCAGTATGGCTTTGGTCTCATTAGTATTTTAATAAACACTTTAACAGAATTAAAAACAACGAGAATTACTGAATTTAATGCAGATCAAGAAGCAATTACCTAGGAACTCACAATCTTGTATTATAAAATAAGATTAGTGGTAATTCCAAAGTGAGATTTAAGCCTAATTGTTAGTCAAATCAGTTGTCTTCTTTACTGTGTGTAGAGATAGACCAGAAAAATATTTAAAAATTATAATTCTTTTAATCTAGGATCTTAAAGAAAAAATATTTTTAAAAGGTAGATGGTATCTTCCCTTAGATCTTTTTAGTCATCCCAGGTACAGAAAATTTTATCCTAATTTTAAGATTCTCCAAAGTAAATTACATGGTCTTTTGTAACTTGCTCCCTGGTTCATCAATCCTCAAGAGTAAGGAAAAATCTTCATTCCACCTAAGACAAATCCATTATCTCATCATTTAATCCTTTTTTCCCCTCCCTTTATCACAGTATAGTCAATCCAGTTTATCTCTGTCTTCTGTCTCACAAATGATCTTACTCCTGACATGTGAAGGCAACCTTGACTCTGCTCTTTCATACTTGGACTTATTTTCCAAAAGTTTATTCATTTCCACTCATCTTCCTTGCTGAACCCTCTCCAAAGTTTCCACATCTCTTTCAAGTTCCAGGCGTCTCACATACTGAGTTAAATACCTGTCCACTCCCCAAGTCCAAAAGAAAATTGGTTGATTGACACAAAATGCAATTTTAGCTAATAAAATTACCTCGATGAGGATATCAAGATCATATCAAATCATTTTAAACTATGATGGATTTGGACAGGGCTTTTTGAAATTATGACACTGTGATAAGAGTGGGTCCTCATGTTTTACAGAATATGTTTTATAAAAAAGGAGAGTGGTAGGAAGAAGTAGAGATACAGAGCAAACAGGGCCAGTCTCTATTCTCTTTCATGACTTCTTCCTACATCTTGTTCAACAATTTCTCTGAAAAGCAGTCAAGCAGAGACCAGATCTATTGTCTCAGAAGTGAACAAAAAAACTAGAGAGAAAGAGGCAGACAGAGAGGAAGAAGAAAGGAGAGGGGAGGAAAATCCTAAGACTCCTCATCATATAGAAATGAGTTTCTAACAAAAATTGATAATTATCAGCACAGAAAAAGAGTTTCGGGATTTTAAAGAAATATTATCATGCTGACATGGTTAATTTCCTGGCTGTAGCTAAGCACTTTGGCATGCTTTGAAGTGACAGCTTCCCTTCTTTTGGCTGCATTTTCCTAAAAGGCCACTGATACATGGACCTCACAATGTGAATTCTGTGCATTAACATGGGATACTCTGGCAAAAACAAAACCCACATATAGAAAGAAGTTCACAAGCAAATAGTCAGGAAGTAGAGTAAGTAAGACACAGCAGCCTGGGTTGAATTCAGGCACCACTGTGACTTCCTTTCTTTTCTTCACTTCTTAGTGGACTACTTGAACACATCCACTCTTAAATGTATCCCAGTGAGTTACATAGTCTACAGCACAAAAGCCAGCTTTCTTCCCTGAGTCTTATAGACAAGAGGCAAAGTTTGTTCCTTATGCTTAATGCAGAATTTGGCCAATTATCCTCAGCTCGAGTACCATGTTTCTACAGACAATTTGTGGAAAACCATCTGACATCTTTTACTTAACACTTTAATCTCAAGGAGCAGGAGTATCACTCCACAGGAAAAAGTAAGTGGCTGGTTACTGCCTCTTACAAATTAGAAGAAACTTAGTTAATATGGAAATAGCTTGAGTATCCTAAGAGGGGTAAAAAAGGAAAAGGAACAGAATTTTGTTTTAGATGAAGTTGAAAGGAACGTATATGCAGATGAGTGACTGATGACTCATTCAGCTCTGCTTGCAGCTTTTGCTTACCAACAGCTGGAAATGGGCTGTCGGATGCAAAACCCAGATTCATGCAATGTTTCAAGAGACAACTTAATGAGGATCTCAGACAGGCACAGACAGCTTGTGCTAATAAGCTCACATAATGAGTTGGAAACAAAAGGAATTGTAAAGTACTGTGTAATATCAGAAGTAACATCCATGTTCCAATCCTAAGAGAAATTAATAAAGCATTGGATCCTCCCAAAACAATGAACTCATGCTGGAACCCTTGTTTCTATATACCTTCCAACCACAGGTTACATTCATGGGCTTGGTGTTATAATTCATTCAACTAAAATCTATTAAGTACCTGCCATGTCCTGGAATTCAAAGATGAACAACAGAGAACACACTCTTAGAAGCTTTCAGTTTAGTGGCATAGACATCAAGTCAGTAGGGAATGAAATACTATATAATAAGTAGTAAGGTAAGACCAGGGACAATGGGAAACACAAGAACAATACTTAGCCAGTGTTAGTGTGTCAGGAAAGTTTCTCCACCTAAACTAATTCCTAAGCTGAGAGCTAAAAGCAGAATGTTCCATATTCCAGTGAAGGGCAGAGGATTTCTAAACAGAAAGTAGAGGTGTGAGGAAGCAGAGCATGCAGAGGTATTACATTCAGAACTAATCATACATGCAACAGCCAAAGGTCCATGAATGACTTCTTGGGCTCCTACTCAATGACACTAAGGACATTGTCATCTTTCTTAGCTATGTGTATAGCAAGAAGAAAGAAACAGGAATGACTACAGAGTTAGGAAGAGAGAGTAGACTAGCTCTTTCTGTCCAACAGTCCTCTTCAGTCTTGCAAACGCAACCCAGGATCTTCTGTCTTTCAGCCACATTTTGGGAACCCATTCTAACAAGCTTTCTGCAAACAGCATATCTATTTTTCCTGTCACTCACTTGACACATAGATCATGATTTCTATAAATGTTTGTCTGTTTCATATCTTCCAAATGAAACTGAATATCATATCATAGATGTTAAGACATATGGATGCTCTGTTTTGATCTCAGCAACTGTCAACAGAAGGTTTCAAACTTGAACAAACCTGTGACAGTCACCTGGTTGACAGTGATGTTTAGATGCATTCTTATTTCGGAGATGTTAAACTGTAAAAAGCTGTGCATCATGATCCCCAAGTAGGAAGAGAATAACGTTGAGACTGATAAAGTCATGACAGTAACCTTTCCCGTTGCATGGAAACCCACACTTTTAATCAGTCTTATAGAAGAGCAAACTGCCACATCTTTTTAGAGATTGCTCTGGCAAAGTGTGCCTAGAGCCCTTTGCCAATAAATTTTTCTTTGGGAGACTTTTTCCAAAAGAAATGAACTTTTAGGTATATAAAGACACTAATAATCCTAAATTGCTAAATGCCTAACTCATTAGCAATACTTAGGTGTGCTTGTAGACCCTACTCTAAGCACTTGAGATGGATTGACTCTGAGTGACCCAATGGAGTAAGTACAGTCATAATCCTTATATCATGTATGAAGAAATTGAGATCTATGTGACTTATTCAAAATCATACAGGTAATAAGGATTA